AACCTATAAAGATAAAATGAAGCCTATTCTGCAACTGGACTGCTGTAAACCAGAACAGAACACTGAAAACTCATTATATGAATGAAACTCAAACACATAAGAGTACATCATACCTAACACCTCTACCTTAAAGGAACTCCATATTTTTTCACCCTCTTCTTACACATATTAGACATTGTATAGGTTACATAAATAACACTAATGATTATACTCGAGTAAAACCAAGCGCTGACCATTTACAAATGTACATTATGATGAGAATTAGTAATTCAACACTCCCTTTCAAGAATATATAATCCTTAAAGCTTGTAAACCAAGATGATAACACTTGAACTTTCATTGACACCTTTTATTGGGAACACTCTGACCTGTTGTACACTTTTATTTGGAATACCTTTGAATTTCTATTCGATCTTTAAAGGTTTACTAGACCAATGCACATTTTTAAAATTTGAACTTTTGATGCTCACCCAAGCATCCATCAACACTTCCTTTTCGATTTACACAACATTGAAAATTACTGTGCATGGCACTGACACAAAACACTACTCTCTTTTAATATATTTTTCCAAATTTTCTGCATTTTATGATAATCTTTTTCCAACTGGCAGCGAAAAATAGAAACATTTGAAGAGCTTTATGATCCAAGATGTTGGAGGCTGTGGATAAATAGAAACTCCATTGGCATTAATACTAACCACAGCCACCGGAATACCTGCTCTGGTACCATGTTGAAAGTGAGGACCCAACACTAAGCACTACAACAACAACAACAACAACATCCAAGCCTTTGTCCCAAAAACTTGAACCAGTTACGTGAACCTGTCTCTTAGTCCACACCAACACCATAACCGGTGCGCCAAGGCTCCCCTTCATTTTCCACAAAAACTTAATTTCCTGTGTTTGAAATGGAGCCTGAATGTGCTCCATTTCTAACTACTCCTGCCTCCTCGTGTACTGCCTAGAAATCTAAATCCATGAAAGAGGGTGCAGCTTTCATTTATGATGAGGTCAACCAATATTTAAGCTTATTAAAAGACTTGATGGTAACTAGTAATTTAAGAACTATTTGGAGTCTCTCCTCCATAAACAGTGGCTGATAAGTTTCACTTAGTTTAGATTTTAGAATTCATGTAGTATTGGGATTAGCATTAGCCTTTTTTTCAAATGGATTGGTATTAGCCTGTTAGCTTTTCTCCTACATATATGCAATCATCCCATGAGGAGGAGTTAGCAATATAAAAGATCAGATTCGAATTTGTCACAACATTGAGCTGAGAACTGTGGTAATTGCTAATTTGCTATAGGCAAGTTCCATTACCAGTTTCATTGGTGAAATAACCATGCACACAACCACATAATTGGCCATATGGAGGGAAAACATCTATATATATGGTTGAATCACTAACCTCCAGGTCAGAAAAATCAAACCAAGGGCAGCAATCCAGGATTTCACAAACAAAGATAACAGTGTCTCGTACAAGATATCCTGCATCTGCTTCCAACATATCTGAGACCTTCATGAACTGAAGTACAGAATTATTCCATGTTTTAGTACAGATTGACGACTCCTTCCATACAGTTTTAGAAGGATCCTTCTGGTTCACGATAGCCATCCTGTATCTAACCCAAAAATTCTTCTCAGGATCATTACCAGACTGATCACTCTCCAAATATATACATATAGTGTCAAAAGATTCATAAACACCTGTAGTATAAAAGAATACTAGAATCAACAATAGAAAACCAACAATAGAATCATACATTTAAGTAAGAAAATAAAATTATAGCTCACCTATGCGGAGTTCACATCCACCGGCCTGAAAGAATTTGCTAAATATTTTTCTTGTTTCCATTATCTCCTTGAAAGAAAAAAAATTCTCCACCTTCCATGTAAAAGAACTCCTTTTCTCAACTCTGTCCAACTGGGAACCAGTAAGTCGTGACACATCATCTTGAGATTTAAAATCCTGCATTACAGAAGTCTCCTTTAAAATAAGAACTTCAGCGGAAAACACGACAGTGTCTTGAACAAGAAATCCAGAATCTTGATCAAAAAGACTGGTCAGTGTCACAAATTCGCGCCATCCCCAGTCCTTTGCCGCTTTAGAATAGCGATTCTGAGATTCCTTGGTTACAGACTTCTCTTCTACTCTTTGGTTCACAACAGACAACCGATGGCTCACAAAACAACTCCAATCACTGTTAGTATTCCGCGAGTCTGTGACTTCAAGAAATACCGAAAGGTGGCAAGGTGGTTGTGCTTGTCCTGGTAAATATAAAATTAAACCCATCTATTAGTCTATATCAGTTCAGAAAAAGAGAAACCAAAATATACTCACCGGTTCCACCAAAACAATCACTGGAAAAATAATGATTGATCATTGATGTAACTGAATTGCTTATGCACCTCAACTTTATAGGCAACTTGTGGCCCTTGGCAGTAAATGCATTTACGAGCAAAATGTTGGGCCATTTTAGTGTTTATCAAATTTATACACATTACAAAATATTGAGCATAGACTTGTAAAATCTAGAGAAGGAATGCACAAAACTCAACCATGCTTTCAATGACGAGTCCTACACAAAACCTAATGGTCAATGATTGCAAATGGACACTATAACAAGCCAAACAAAAAAAAACAGCATATACACATTTTTGCCATAGAACGTGACCAACTCTCTTCATGGACCTTAAATTTACTTAGAAGGTGCATAACTAATAGAAACCATCAAGAAGCAGACATTGCTACACCTCACAATCATAAATGCATGACATGCTAGGCATACAGATCTGGCTTATCATTTCATCTAGTAGTGAAACATAGACTCATAGTATCCTTATATGGAAAAATAAGAAATATAAACTATGGTATCACATGCTGTGATGACAGAATGCTTAAATTAGGAAACAGATTCAGACAATATAGAAATAAAAATAAATGGTAAAACACAAAATACTTCACCAACTTTAACTTTTTATACCTCTAGGGTAAACAATAAGCCGGCAATCTCGATTGCCTATTTGAAACCTTCGGCTTTTTATGCATAATCCTGTAATCTTCCTCTTTTTCAAAAGATCCTTCAGCCTAGTGAAGTTCTCAATCCTCCATGTGAACTTTCCATGGTGCCCATCAGACTTCCTGGAACTATTCCCTAATCTTAAACCAATTACTCCTCCATTTTTTGAAAAACTACAGAGCTCCTTAATTACATGGAATGAGGTGCTAAAAACAGCGGTATCATCTACAAGATAGCCAGACTCAGAACCCACAAAATCCGACATTTTCATGTAATCATTCCAGCCTAAGCTCGTGTTATCCCCACTCTTATTATCAGCTGCAAACCTACCGTATGAGTCCCTATGCACGTGAATCATACCTGGCTTCTGATTCAGCACAGACATCCTAAACAAGCACCAACAACTCCTATCTGTTATCAACGTCTTCTCAGTGTCTTTACTCTCTAAACACATTGACAAATGATCTACCCCACTCACTGAGCTCTGATACACACTGATCCTTAAATTGCACTCCCCTGCTGGGAAAACTGGACTCATGATTTTTTGAGTTTTGATCATTTCCTTAAACAAGCTAAAGTTATGCACCTTCCAAGTAAACTTCCCACTCAAAACATCCCCCACAGGACCACTAACCACTACATTGGAGGAGGAGCTGGACTGTGATTCATTGGTATCGCGTGAGAAGTTAACAGATTCGTGCAGAATTAGTATGTCAGCAGTTACAAGGAGGCAATCATTGTTGAATAAGAACCCTAACTTGGGGTCTGAGATAGAGTTTGAGGGTGTGAAATCGCACCAGCCATGGGATTTCTTCTTCGAGGAGAACCTATGCCATGAGTCACGATGGATGGACTTGGAGGCATCGCTGGGGTTTTCTATAGCCAGGCGATAGCTGGCAAAGCAGTCCCACTTGGCCGAAGTTGTATTCCGAGGGTCCATAATCTGTAGGTAGATAGAAATATAACCAGGCAACGCCTGAGAGTCGCCCTTGGGGTAAACTAGAAGGCGGCAATCATAGCCGCCAACCTCGAAGTACTTACTCCACAGTGCTCGCCCCTTGATCCTAGGAAAATTCGCGATGGCCCATTTGCACACGGCGGCGTACTCCCCTCGCCTTTCCACTGTCACGGATTCTGACGCCATTGTGGTCACCGATACCGCGTCCCTCGACGCTGCAGGATCCTCCGCCGCCGCAATAGGCTTCTGCGACGACAAGGACGATGAGGTCATGGCTGGCGACGACATCGCCGATGAAGGAGGTTGTACGGGAGACGGAGATTGGTAAGCCGATGATGAAACCGCCGTTTCCGTGGCGGAAGTCGATAAATTCTGGTGATGGTGGCGGTGCTTCATTTGTTTTCCGGTATATCAAATTTTATTCCTGGAATTACCTTTATTTGTTAGACGTATCGGAGTGAGTGGGAAGCAATGGAGAAGGAGATATGGAAGTGAGTAGTGGAAGGGTGGTGATTGCGTCGTCTGTATTGGGCAAGTTGTTGAGCCTGAGAAGAGACCGCTAAGGAGCTGCGCAGCATCACTCTCGAAACAAGGATTTGGAGATGGGGGTGCACGATAGTTATGGTGATCACGCCCTTATAACTTTTCGCCTTTTTTTTTGTTTTCTAAAAAGGATTGACCTTCCTCACACAATTGCTATACTTGACTCCCATAGGCCATAGCAGCCCTAGAGCTTTATAATTAGAGGCCTGCTAGGGGTACACACTTTTTGTACACAAAAAGTGTACACTCGTCTGTCTCCCACAGACGAGTTGTCTGTCGCGAGATGAGTTGTCTGTGGGACAGACAACTCATCTCGCGACAGACAACTCGTCTGTGGGAGACAGACGAGTGTACACTTTTTGTGTACAAAAAGTGTGTACCCCAATCTTTTTTCTTATAATTAGGGGTAGGTTGATGAAATCCAAATCGAATATAGAATCGCCAAAATAAAAATATTACTTGTGAACATTGGGTTATCCGACTAGTTACATATTAAAAATGTTAGATGTAATTATCTGTATACAGATAATCAATTTTAATTTTTGTAAAGGGAAGTGTCTGTGACCTAAAAAATGAATTGTCATGACACTTTCCTTCACAAAAATTAAAATCAGTACTTGGACGAGTAATCGGGTGTCCATTCAGCGTGCAATCCGACGTGTACAAGTATCATTTTTGAACCAAAATAGATGTTTGGTTTTGGATTTTCATTTCTAAAAATTGATCCAAAACGAATAAATCATACTCCCTTCGTCCCTAAAAAAACTTGCAACTTTCCTTTTCCATTCATCCCAAATAAAACTTCCACTTTCCTTTTTTGGTACAGATTTTGTGGTTCACAACATTTCTTACGCATTTCTCTCTCCTCTGCACAACTCTCCACCAAACAATACTCACTATCTTAAAGTGTGTGCTCAACCTATTTGGAAGTTTTATTAGGAATGGAGGAAATACCTTTTAAAGTATGCTATATATGTGGCTTATATTAGGCAAAGCAAATTCAACGTTGGAGCTACTAACCAAATTAGTACTTCGTATATGGTATACGTATATATTTATCTAAAAGAAGTCTTGTACTAAGTCTTGTGGATTCTATCCTCAAGATCGTGTCTGACAGGAGGTCTTGTACTAAGTTTGAGATGAATAAGTCCCTTATTGTTGTGTATCATGCTAATTCTTTCGGGGCTTTTATCCGAATTGTTGAGAAGGGAGGTGAGTCATTATTTATTCCTGAGGGACCGAAATAGCCACGGGATCAACATTTTTCTTAGAGGGATTTCACGAGCTATGATGTTGATTAATGCGGCCACTTCGAAAAAATTGGCAATTGAAGATGATTCAGGAGAGGTTTTTTCAATTACAACGGAGAAAAGTAATTTAGACTTTCTACCTTTCAAGGAGGATTATCCTCTCTCCTGTGAAAATACGATTTCCATTTCGGGCGCTTTACTTCGGGCTGATATTGAGCATCTTCATTCATTTGATCAGTCCTTGGGTTTGGTTTCAATCGAGGATGTTCAAAATATTGAACAAAAATCCGAGATTGATGAATTTGCAAATCTTAAAGATTTTATTCAGGTTGCTTTAACAAATGGGGTGAATTCACTTTCTCAGTTTCTTCTTTGTGAATTTCAGAGGCTCCTTACCTCTTCTTTGGGTAACTTGACTTTGACACCCATAGACGAAACAAAAGCTGATATGAAGAAAACAAGTATTTCTAAGTCAGGTGATAGACATGTTCATCCTGGATGGGAATTCCCAGATCCTACTTATGTAGAAGCTATTGCTTGTGAGGGATGTTATGATATTCCGGACTTTTCATATTCGGGGGATGAATTTATTGGACATGTCTCAGAGAACGAGAAGAGGGTTCCAATCTCGACAGAGAAGGATCTTTGGGACTCAGATACTAATGAAGTTATTTGCCAAAAAGCTCTGTTGGTTACACAAGAAAATTGTTTGCCTACTCAAAATCTGAACACACAAAAGGGAATGTACAAAAAGAAGAATCAACGATCGCATCTTATGAGGACTAGGTCTCAAACACGAGTGGAGCTTTGAAGATTAAACTGAGGGCTATGTTGTTTCTTTTAGGGAGGGTTTTATCGTTGATCTTTGGGTTGGGGTTTAGGGACCTGTTTTCTTTTTGTTTGATTTCCTTTTAGTTTTTTTTTTCTTTTTCATAAAAAAATAAGAAAAAAAAGTTGGGCATCACTTAATAAAATCACTTGTTCGTAATATATTTATCTAAAAGAAGTCATCATTTGAATACTTAAGACAAAATTATGACCCGTCTAGATAATTTCATCCATAATTATTTAAATGAAGACATTGTTCATAAGCATAATTGTCTCGTAATACATAGGAATAATAACTGGTAGTAAAAAAAGCGGTCGTCTCCTAGGCCTTCCTAGGGTTTTTTCCGGCGCCGTCCGTAGTGGCGGTCGTGTCCCGCGGTGCAATACTCGGATTTTCGAGGGTTCTATCAAAATAGAAGCATGAGTATTATGAGTTGGAACTGTCGGGGTCTAGGAAATCTTGCCACGGCTCAGTGTGTTATAGACCTGGTGCAGACGAATAGACCGTCGTTGTTGTTTCTTATGGAAACGAAGATTGAAGGAGCAAGAGAAGACAGAGGAAATTCAAGTTTGAGAATGTCTGGCTCAAAGAAGAGGAATGTCGTACTATTGTTACCAATAGCTGGAATGCGGGGGAGCATTTATCAGTTAATGAGAAAATTACTTTTTGTGGAAAAGAATTACTAAGATGGGATAGATGCAGATCAAAAGGCTTCAGAAATCGAATTGTTGCTTGCAAGAAGCGTCTTGCTTGGCTCCGGGGCAAGGAAGACGTAGACAGTGTGGCTGAATTTGTCAAGCTTCGGTCAGTAATTTATTTACTAATGGAGAAAGAGAATTTATATTGAAGGAAGAGGGCAAAGGAGTTCTGGCTGAAAGAAGGTGGTCTGAATTCAAGATTCTTTCATAATGCAGTCAAGCAAAGGAGGAGGAAAAATAAAATTCAGGGTCTCAAGTCCGCGGCAGGGGAGTGGATAACGGACCGAAAACAGATGGGGGATGTTATTCGACAGTATTTCACAGATACTTTCCAGGAACCAGGGAGAGATATACAGTGGGAGGAGTGTGGAGTCTTCAGAGAGGTCTCGGTAGAGCAGAATATAGGTTTACTCCAGCCGCTCAGTCCAGATGAAGTAAAGGAGGCTATTTTCGATATGCACCCGGATAAGGCTCCAGGAGCGGATGGTATGAATCCTGCTTTCTTTCAGAAGTTTTGGGATATTGTTGGACCAGAAGTTGTTAAGTTATGTTCGGATATGGTTGAAAGTGGAGTAATGCTAGGTGAGTTGAATGTTACTAATATTGTTTTGATTCCCAAAAAAGATAAACCCGAGGGGATGGGGGATTGGAGGCCAATTGCATTATGCAATGTGGTGTATAAAATCTTTTCAAAAGTGTTAGCCAACCGTATGAAAAGTTTTTTGGGAATGTTAATTGATGAGTGTCAGAGTGCTTTATTCCAGGAAGACATAGTGGATAATATTATTGTAGCCTTTGAAACACAACATTATTTAAAGAGGAAGACCACGGGTAGAGATGAATATGTTGCCCTTAAACTTGATATGAGTAAAGCTTATGATCGAGTTAGTTGGGCTTTTCTTCGAATTCTTATGCAGAAGATGGGTTTTCATCCGAGGTGGGTAAACCTGATTATGCAATGTGTTTCTACAGTCAAGTATTATGTTCAGTTTGATAATGAATTTTTGGGACCAATAGTTCCTGGTAGGGGGCTAAGTCAGGGGGACCCCCTTTCCCCTTACCTATTTATTTTGATAGCTGAGGGTCTTAGTGCACTGATTCGAATAGATGAAAATAGAGGAGAACTTCATGGTGTGGCAGTTTGCTGCCGGGGGCTCCCGCATTACTCATTTACTTTTTGCTGATGATAATTTTCTCTTCTTTAAAGCTGATCGTACGGAGTGCAGGGTGGTGCAGAATATTTTGAACAGGTATGCAACGCTATCAGGCCAGTTGGTAAATTTTAATAAATCATACTTGAGCTTTAGTCAGAATGTGGGAGAGCAGTTTAGGGAGTATTGTTGCAATTTTTTCGCTATACCGAGAGTTGGAGGCCCAAATTTATACCTGGGTCTGCCTGCTTTGGTGGGGAAGAATAAATCGGTTTTTCTGGGATATTTAAGAGATAGAAATGATAGTAGAATAAAATCTTGGAATAATCGGTTTCTCTCACGTGCTGGGAGGGCAGTTTTATTGCGTAATGTTATCCAATCATTACCAAATTATGCCATGAATGTATTTTTATTGCCGAAGGAGTTGTGTGAGGAGGTGGAGAAACTGATGAATGGTTTTTGGTGGAAAGGATCAAAATTTGACCAAAAAGGTTTGAGGTGGAGGAGATGGGAGTGTCTTTGTAAACCGAATGAAGTTGGGGGATTGGGGTTTCGTAGAATTCGGGAATTTAATTTAGCCATGCTTGCAAAACAAGGTTGGCGGTTGGTCACCGAGGAGGGTACCCTCATGAACCGTGTTTTAAAGGCTAAGTATTTTCCATCTTCCGATTTTCTTCATGCTAGGTTGGGTAGTAATCCTTCATTTATTTGGAGGAGTATTTTTGAGACCCAAGAAATTTTGAAAAATAATGTTCGACGTCGAGTTGGTAATGGCATTGATACACAGGTTTGGGCAGATTCGTGGTTGCCTGGAAAGAGTGGGCGAATTACTTCGGCTAGGCCAGCCATGATTCGAGACATGAATGTGGTGACCCTGCGTGATCATACTGGCAAAAAATGGAGTCGTGATAGAATTAATAACTGGTTTAATCAGGAGGATAAACGTAGTATTTTAAGTATTCCTATAAGCTTCTTTGACAGGAAGGACAGTTACTGGTGAACAGGTGAGCGTAACGACACTTATTCTGTAAAGAGTGGCTATCGTCTATTGATGGGCGAGCAGACTAGTGACTGGAATGGTTGGGGTAAATTGTGGGATGTCAAGGGCCCTCCAAAGTTTAAATATTTGGTGTGGCAAATTGCGGATGGTTCTTTGCCTACGGTGGATAACTTGCGACGTCGCGGAGTGAATATTGTGGGGGGTTGTACACTGTGTGGGGCAGCGGAGGAAGATGAAGAGCATGCTCTTCGGTCTTGCCCGAAAGTGGAGGATATTTGGGTTAAGGCTGGTTTCCCAACTTTAAATATGCAACTTTCTTTTGTTGATTGGTTTCAGGGCCAGATTACTAGCCAAAGTGGAGAGCGAAGGGCTAAATTTTTAGCTTTACTTTGGAGTATTTGGAAGATACGGAATGAAGCAGTATGGAATGACCAAGAGATGGAAGCTGAAGAAACTGTGCGAGTCACGACTAGCATGGTCGATGCATGGCAGTAGGTGAATGGGGCAGTCGGGGCGAGTGTAGCGGTGCAGCGACAGCAGGGAGCTACGAGCAGGTAGAGGAAACCCCCGTCGGGTTTTGTAAAGATCAATGTCGATGGGGATGTTAACCAAAAGGATGGAATTCGAGTTTGGGGATGGATTGCACGCGATGAGGATGGTCAGTTCATTCGGGCGGGAGGAGAATCTGAGGAACGGGAGTGGTCAACGGAGGAAATTGAAGCTATGGGGCTAAGGAAGGCTGTTGAAGAAGTTGTTGCAGCAGGATGGCAGAGTGTGGAATTTGAAACTGATTCGCTACGGGTGGTGGAGAATATCAACAAGGCAACTGGGGGGAACTCTTATACAGACCTTATTATTGATGATATTCGACGAATAGTGGAAACAAAGAGTATCTGGAAAGTCTTTTTTTTTTTTTGCAAAAGATCTGCGAATACGGTGGCACGTGCTTTAGCACGGTCACGCGTTAATCTCTCAGATCATTTCATATATTTTTATAGTAGTCCTAACTGTATCTTGAGCCAGTTGGCGAATGATTTATTAATATAAGTTCTTGGTTCGGTGATAAAAAAAAAGCATAATTGTCTCATATCCATGCGACTTTCACTTCTAACAATTGTTAATATTTCCACAAATCCATTATTATTTCTTTTCAAGTTATATGTAGCCTATATATCATATTTAAGCGAGAGTAGACTTGGTTTTGTAAGCAATTTTGGAGGAGTAGAAGATATACAATTTTTTTAAGAAAATAAATAAAATCTATTATGACACATTTATTTGTAAAATACATAGTAAAACATTATTGATTAGATGGAGATAGTGATGGCAATGAGGCAGAATCGGGGACGGGTACACATAAAACCGAAACCGCCACGTTGGATAAATGTTTGCCCCAAAACCGCCCCATTACCCGTTCGGGTAATTTTTATTTGAACCGTACCCGCCCCAACGGGATATCGGTTTATCCACGGGTAACCATTTCCCCAAATGATGCCAAATAACCATTTTTTTGAAAAACAAATAACCAAATTCTAATCTTACTTGTTATTTATATATTCAAAGCACCCTAAAACATACAAAAGTAAATATTCAAGCAATCAATCAGACTGGCCTAAATCCATTAGTATGACATGCGCCTAATATCTCTTGTAACATAATAAAAATGTAGTAATCATCCCAGAATCCAAATTCCAAAAACAGGTTTAGGCCTATATTTAGTTTTAGGCCTAAAAAGTAGTATACTTTTTTGCCTTATTTATATGATATATACTATTTAGTATACACAATTTAGCATATATACTTATTATTCTTATATATAAAAAGTTATAATTCATTAATAATGTTACGGACCGGGTAACGGTGCGGGTACCCGCACCATTAGTGAACGGGGCGGTTTCGAGGCGGATAACGGGACGGATTAGTATAGAACCATAACCATTAACCATTTAAAAAAATCGAGTATTCCCCGCCCCATACCCATTCCCCAGTTTGACCAAATCGGTTCGGTGCGGGTATCCAACGGGTCGGCCTAAATTGCCATCTCTAGCTGGAGAGGACACATAGGCATTTAATAAATCCAAATGGACGAAATTAGACGAATAATAGTTTTGTCTGATAAATGGACCCTCTTTAATAAAGCAAAAAATAATTAAAATATCTCAAACTTCGAAGCGGTGTAAAATAAACATCCCAAACTTTCATAAGTAATTTAAATACCCTTTAAACAC